ATTTAAGAGACACTCCCAATTCCTTTTCTGTGAACTCTCATTCACCAGACTTAAATGTTCCAGTGTTTCAGCCAGAAGGTTTTTTTTTTCTGAGACAGAGTCTCACTCTGTCACCCTGGGTAGAGTGCAGTGCAGTTACTGTAGCTCACAGCAACCTCAAACTCCTAGGCTGGGACTACCGGTGCACGCCATGACACCTGGTAACTTTTCTGTTTTTAGTAGAGATGGAGTTTTACTCTTGCTCAGGCTGGTTTTGAACTCCTGAGCTCAAGTGATCCTCTTGACTTGGTCCTTCAAGAGTGCTAGGATTATAGGAGTGAGCCACCATGCCTGGCCCAGCTTGAAGGTTCTACTCAAGATCTTGAGTTCCCTGAGGTCTTCCATTTATTTATGTCATTTTCACACAAATATAGACTATCAGTTCCCTCTATGCACACTCTTTTTTTTTTTTTATGAGACAGAATCTTGCTTTGTTGCCCCGGCTAGAGTGAGTGCTGTGGTGTCAGCCTAGCTCACAGCAACCTCAAACTCCTGGGCTCAAGCGATCCTCCTGACTCAGCCTCCCGAGTAGCTGGGACTACAGGCATGTGCCACCATGCCCGGCCAATTTTTTGTATATATTTTTAGTTGGCCAATTAATTTCTTTCCATTTACAGTAGAGACGGGGTCTCGCTCTTGCTCAGGCTGGTTTCGAACTCCTGAACTCGAGCAATCCGCCCGCCTTGGCCTCCCAGAGAGCTAGGACTACAGGCGTGAGCCACCGCGCCTGGCCCCTCTATGCACATTCTTAATTTCTCTTATTGCTGGTTCTATGTCCAGGGCTTTCTTTAGAAGTTCTGATGGCACAGAACAGAAACTCAAACCTATTTATTAAATGAATGAATTTAAGTATATTAAAAAAAACATAAAAACTTAGCGATAAGTTAAATATGGCACAAATTCTTTGCAGCTCCTCGCATCAACGAAAAGATTTATTTTCTCATCACTTGAATCTGGGCTGACTCTGTGATTTGCTTTGACTTACAGAATATGGCAGAAGTGCTGTTGTTCTGAGATCTCAAGAGACCTTGCAGCTTCTGCTCTGGATCATTTGGAATCTTCCCAGCATTATAAAAATAAGCCCACTCTAGTCTACTGTAGGAAGAGAGATAACTGCAAGGAAGAGAACCAATTGCAAGATGTGGTGAGGCCACCTTAAACCAACCTACTTGAGGGAAAGCTGGCAGATAACTAGTGCATGGTTGATCCTAAGTGAACTCAGGAGACCCACCCAGCTGCACCAGCCCAACAAATGCATGTTTGCTATTTCATGCCCCTGAGTTTTGGGGTGTTTGTTATACAGCAATAGATAACTGATGTGAACTTCAATGTCCAACATGAGACTGGTTAAAGATGCTTCTAGCTCATCCCTACAAGAGAATGCTATGGAAAGATCTCCAAGACATATAAATGAAACTTTCAGTATTGAGATCTCAGATTCTAGACTTTCAAATGCCAGTAGTATGGATAGTCACATAATCCCATGATGTAGGTACTATCACCAATCCTATTTTATAAATAAGAAAAGTGAGGCCCAGAGAAGTTAAGTAGCTTGTCTAAATGTCAAACAGCTAATAAGTGGCAGGCTGTGGATTGAACCCAGGAGGTCTGGCTGCAAAGCCTGTGCTCCTGACACATGTTACTCTGTTGCTCACTCCAGCACCAACTCTTATGTCTCCAGTTTCTTTATTGTATTTAGAGCCTTTCCCCAATTCTTTATCATTCACTACCTCCATCTGAAAATTAATTTCCTGGATTTTGGTGGTGTTAACTATCTGAATGAACTAACCTGAAGGTTCATGACTTCCACCTAAGGAAAATAAGCTTAAAAAAGAAAAGGTTGGCCGGGCGTGGTGGCTCACGCCTGTAATCCCAGCACTCTGGGAGGCCGAGGCGGGTGGATTGCTCGAGGTCAGGAGTTCAAAACTACCCTGAGCAAGAACGAGACCCCGTCTCTACTATAAATAGAAAGAAATTAATTGGCCAACTAATATATATATATATATAAAAAAATTAGCCGGGCATGGTGGCTCATGCCTGTAGTCCCAGCTACCTGGGAGGTTGAAGCAGAAGGATCGCTTGAGCCCAGGAGTTTGAGGTTGCTGTGAGCTAGGCTGACGCCATGGCACTCACTCTAGCCTGGGAAACAAAGCGAGACTCTGTCTCAAAAAAAAAAAAAAAAAAAAAAAAAAGGCTGAGAAATAATTTGATACAAGTCATGTCTACCTATAGAAAGGAGTGAGGAAACACAGGAGAAAAGTCTGGGAATAGGCTTATTTATCATAAAATCTTAAAGAGGCCGTATTGTTATATATGTACTTCTTTAAAAATGCAACTCAGGAAATAACATTTATGTAACATGCTTAGGAGATAAAGTATACAAGCCAATTTAATCAGTAACAGGTGCCACTTGTGAAGTTCTAACTAAAAAATCCTACAATCAATAACTTATATAATTACATAATTATAACCGCATAGGAACAAGCATGCATATGTTGGTATAAAAAAAGTTAAAGATTTAGGGATACTGGCAATCAGGAGCATTTCTTATTCTCTTACGTATTCTTTCTACACTTCTAACCTGTCTAAATGATGATAAACTACCTTTATATTAAAGGTTAAAAGAAAGTCTCACACCTGTAACCCTAGCACTCTGGGAGGCCAAGGCAGGCAGATCGTTTGAGCTCAGGAGTCTGAGAGCAGCGTGAGCAAGAGTGAGACTCCGTCTCTACCAAGAATAGAAAAAATTAGCCAGGTATGGTGGCACATGCCTGTAGAGTCCCAGCTACTCGGGAGGCTGAGGCAGAAGGATTATTGAGCCCAGGAGTTTGAGGTTGCTGTGAGCTAGGCTGACGCCATAGCACTCTAGCCCCGGCAACAGAATGAGACGCTGTCTCAAAAAAAAAAAGAAAAAAAGAAAGAAGAGAAAAGAAGTTTCTCCAATATCCTAAAAATTTCAATTCTAAATAACGAAGTGTTTCTGAATCTTGACTCAGATCAATACACAAACAAATTCAACATCTAAGTAGACAGTTGAAGTTAAATATATGCACACACATACTAATACACACATATACACACATACAGAGACAATATAGCAAAAATTAGAAAAAGGTAAATTTTCAACAGAAGACTGGATAAAAATACTACAAAATAATTAAAGATTGGGCACGTAGACTCACACCTGTAATCCTAGCACTCTAGGAGGCCGAGGTGGGTGTATCGCTCAAGGTCAAGAGTTTGAAACCAGCCTTAGCAAAAGCAAGACACCCATCTCTACTAAAAATAGAAAGAAATTAATTGGCCAACTAAAAATATATAGAAAAAATTAGCTGGGCATAGTGGCGCATGCCTGTAGTCCCAGCTACTAGGGAGGCTGAGGCAGTAGGATCGCTTGAGCCCAGGAGTTTGAGGTTGCTATGAGCTAGGCTGATGCCACGGCACTCTAGTCCCGGCAACAGAGTGAGACTCTTGTCTTCAAAAAAAAAAAAGCATTAAACATAAGCCATATCTATGTAACGACAGAAAAACATGCAAAACACAATTCTATTAATAGTGTACATTTAGAGAATCATTATAAAGAATTTCACCTTCTTAAATATTCCTATGATTTTAAAATTTTTACCAGAAATGTTAACTTTTATAATGATTATTTTTAAAAGTTAATTTTGGGAAAAACATGCATAATGTATGTCTCCAGAGAAAGACATTAAAGTGAGTCCCCTATTCAGAGTCCCTGTTTCACTCTTTAGGGCCCCTGTGTTTATAACAGACCCACCTAGGTAATCAGGATTATCTCCCTGTATCAAAAGACATCTGATGAACAACTGACCTTAATTGCATCTGCAACTGTAACTCTCCTTTGACAGGTAACCTAATATATTCACAAATTCTAGGGATTAGGATGTGGCTATCTTGGAGTGGGGACTGGAGAGAGTCATTATTCTGTCTACTAGAGTTTTACAAAAGTATAAAGTTTTAAGGAATAGCTTCCTAATATAATTAAAAGGTACATGTTAAATGGGAATAAAGGATAATATAATTATTAAATAATGTTAACCTAAAAAACATATCAAAGGATAAAAACCTAACATATCACTTTTTCCTTTTATAGGTGTTATATCTAAGAAATCTCTGCCTAACCTAACTAAAATTATGAAGATTCTGTCCTATGCTTTCTTCTTGAAGTTTAATAGTTTTAGGACTCTTATTTAGGTCTATGTTCCATTTTTAGGTTTTTTTTTCATACTGGTGTCTGATTATTCCAGCACCATTTGTTGAAAAGACTGATAAAAGCAGCAATGTGGATTTTCACAAATCTCAAATGTATTATGCTGAGTGGAAGAATCCAGACATAAAATGGCTACCTACTCCATGATTCCATTAATATGACATTCTGGAAAAGGCAAAACTACAGGGATAGAAATCAGATCAGTGATTGCTAGAGATCTGGGGAGGGAACTAACTATAAGAGGGGCACAAGGCAACTTTTAGGGATGATGGAGATATTCCATCTCTCAATTACAGTGGTGGTTACATGACAGTATACCTCTGTTAAAACTCAGAGACCTACACAATTAAAAAGGTAGAATTTTAATTTTATAGAAATTATTCTTCAATAAACCTGACTTTAAAAACTATCAAATGACAAGATAAAAAGGTGTAATTCATTTTGCAGGTGCCTAGACCTTCTGAACCTTAAAATTTGAACATAATTCAAGTTAAAAAGTAGCAAAGAACCTGAAAGATAGAAAACTAGATAGTCGTCACTCTGTATGGTCACAGACTCTCTTACTCTCCTGCCACTGCTCCCAAATAAAAAGGGAAGAGGGCAATAAAGAATGAGTACCAAATAAGGCATTATCCAACAGCCACAGGATAACTTTTCAAGCAAGTGACCTAACAATTAAACAAATACAAAGCTAAGCCTGAGAAAAACTAATCAATGAAATAATATTTACCTTTGGAGTCAGCATTTGGGAACAGCCTGTTCCATGGCACCTTATTTTTGTGTGGAAGAGAAAGCAAATAGTTTCTAGCTTTTAAATTTATGATACAATTCAGGTCTTCCTGTGATGGGGATCCAAGAATACCTATCAGATAAAGTAATTAGCTGTTAATTATCAAGACCAAGGCAATCATCAGCAGTGGGACAGAATGAACCCTGGTAATTAATATCTGCTCGCCACCTCCCAATGCTTATCTTTCTTTACAAGTTTTCACAAAAAGGTCCTTAACATTTTAAATCAGGGATGGTTAAAACTCATGCCTACCATAGATAGGTTAAAGAGTTATTACAATTCTTCTTAATTTAACAAAGTGACTTTGATGGCAACCACAGACAGGCAAACTGAGCAAACCTAGCCCCTGCAGTGCTGGAGAACCTTACCCAGAATGTGGTTCAGCTGGTCGAGATAATGCTTCCCCGGAAAGATGGGCCTGTTGGAGAGCATTTCTGCCAGAATGCAGCCTACAGACCAAATATCGATGGACTTGGTATAGCCCTGCAGGAGAAAGGGGAAAAAGGCCAAGAATGAGATCTTGTGTTCCAGGACAAGATGAGCTCTTCCTGTATGACAGGTGCATGGCTGACAGGCGTTCGCGCTTCTCCTGTTGAGTCTATGATTCAGAAATACAAGTAGACAGCACCGAAAAACAAAAAATAATTTGGCTTTCTTATGAGAGGTGGAACAACCAAGATTACTTAATTTCCTCTCTTCAATGTTGATTTATTTATTAAATTAGAATTTCTGAAGTATATGTCAGTCTTTTTTCAAACGATTTAAGAAATTTAGAATTCTTATAAATTGGAGTTGGGAAAAGTAATAACACTCATTGTTTTAGTACATTTGTGGCCCATTTGCTCATTACTCAAAACCTGGAAATAGGCCGGGCGTGGTGGCTCACGCCTGTAATCCTAGCACTCTGGGAGGCCGAGGCGGGCGGATCGCTCGAGGTCAGGAGTTCAAAACCAGCCTGAGCAAGAGCGAGACCCTGTCTCTACTATAAATAGAAATTAATTGGCCAACTAATATATATATAGAAAAAATTAGCCGGGCATGGTGGCACATGCCTGTAGTCCCAGCTACTCGGGAGGCTGAGGCAGGAGGATCGCTTGAGCCCAGGAGTTTGAGGTTGCTGTGAGCGAGGCTGACGCCACGGCACTCACTCTAGCCTGGGCGACAAAGTGAGACTCTGTCTCAAAAAAAAAAAAACAAAAAAAAAAACAACCTGGAAATCAACTCAAAAGGAGGAACACTGCTATACTTCCAGAAAATCCTTTTTTTTTTTTTTCCCTTAAAAGATAGGATCTTGCTGTTGTCCAGGCTGGAGTGCTGTGGCATCATCATAGCTCACTGCAACCACAAATCCTTGGGCTTCAAGCAATCTTCCTGCCTCAGCCTTCCAAGTAGCTCGGACTACAGGCGTGTGCCACTATGCCTGGCTAATTTTTTTAAAAAAAATCTGTAGAGACAGCATCTTGCTATGTTGCTCAGGCTGGTCTCGAACTTCTGGGCTCAAGTAACCCCCCTGCTTCAGCATAGCAGCATTCTGGGATAACAGGTGTGAGCCACTGGACCCTGTCCCAGAATATGTTTACATATTTTGCAAATCATTTTTTAAAAAGGTTGGAAAACCTTGATCTTCAGGGGGAAAAAGTGTGTACTGGTTCCATCATATTTTACCAATCCCTGTTTTCAATATTTTCATCTTTTTCTATTCATTTTAGGTATACATTTACTTTTAAAGGAATCATGTTAAGAAAGTCATGGAAGGATTCTGTCTAAATTGTAACCAGTGCAAAAAAGATGTTTCTTTAAGGAATATAAGTTGAATTTTTTAAGCAATCTATTATAAGATGGAAATAAGTTGAATTCTATGGAAAATGTTAGGTATAGTGATAAATGGAAGAAGAAATGTGGAAATTTTGAGAAAAAGAAATTTTGAGTCAAATATTAAAATTTAGGGAAATAGTGAAATCATTTTGGAAAATCCAACAAAGAATCAGCAATCAGATCTATAGCTATGATAAAATGGAGTTGAATTTTGGCATATTTCTAAAACTCCTATAAATCCAAATAACTTTTCCTTTGAGCCAAAACAAAATAAAGGGAAATACTGACATCACACAAAAAATAAGTAACTAAAAGGTACCCAGGGAGAAATGGGTGCTCTAGGACTGGGACAGGGAAAGTATAAGATGAGCCTGGAGCATCTAGTGCCAGAAAGCAAGGAAGTGTGCAGGGCTGTGGGCAGCTCCCATCAGCCAAACCTTGGACAATGTGAGCATCAATGTACATAATGGAAGGAATGGATTAGAAACTACTGAATAAATAAATGGAGAGAACTAAAATATAGAAGGAATGATAGAGTTACAAAATCATCAATGGATGGCAAGACTAGTGGGTGAAATTTGGTGAAGAAGATAACTTACAGTCTTAAACTACTTCCCCACAAACTGTTATTAATTACAAAAGGGGAAGGGGTAACCTTACAGTGGACACTTGGAGGACATCTTAACCAAAAGACCACACTTAGAGGACCATCTTAACCAAAAGATCAACATGAACACCAACACTGGCACGAACCAGATGTGCTCTGTGATATAATGCACTGAGAACAAATCATTGCTTCATGGTATTCATGCCAAAAATGCATGACACAAAATTGAGGGCATTCTACAAAAAAGCTGAACTGCATTCTTCAAAAATGTCAAGGTGAAAAAAAAGCTGAGGAACTATTCCAGATCATAAAGAAACATGACAGTGCGCTGAGTGAGCCTAAACTGGGGTGGGGTGGGAGATTATAAAGGTTATTATTAGAACAATACCAAAATTTGAATATAAACTATGCGTTAGATATCAAATCAGTGCTAAATTTCCTGTTTCTGATAACAGTACTGTGGTCTTATCAGAGAATACTCTTGTTCTAAAGCAAGGATTTTTAACCTTGCACTACTGACATTTTGGGCTAAGTTTCTGTTACGGGGGCTGTTCTATGCATTGTAGGATGTTTAGCAGCATCTTTGGGCTCCACCCACTTGATGCCAGTAGCAACTCCCTCCCCCTCACTGTGAAAGCCGAAAATGTCTCCAAACATTGCCAAATGTCCCTAGGGAACATTAGAACCATTGTTCTAAGGAATACACACTAAAATGTTTAGTAGTAAATGGACATATCTACAACTTACACTCAATGACTCAAACACACAGACACAGAATGATAAAACAAATGTGGCAAAGGATAAAATGATGAGTGTGAATCTAGGGAAAAGGGTATACAGGAGTTCTATCCAGTATTTCTCCATGGGGGGGTCCAGAAACCCTTGTGGGTTCCCTCTAGGGCAGTGGTCCCCAACCTTTTTGGCACCAGGGACTGTTTTCACAGAAGACAGTTTTTCCTCAGAGGTGGAGCTCAGGAGATGATGCCAGTGATGGGAAGTGGCTGTAAATACAGATGAAGCTCCCTTGCCTGAGGCTCACCTCCTGCTGTGCACCCCCCACCCTGGTCCTCAATGGCATGGAAGACAATTTTTCCATGGGATGGGGTTGCTCTGAGGCTCAGTCCTGAACAGGGCAAGGACCTGTACTGGTCAGCTGCCCAGAGTTGGGGACCACAGCTCTAGGGGATCTAAGAGGTCTATGCTACTTTTATTATACTACTAAAATGTTTTTTATCCTTTTCACTTATTCTCTCACAAGTATACAAGAGATTTTCCCAGAGGCTACATGAGGAATGATGGATGACACTGCACATGAAATGTGACATCTGGAATATCTGTATAACTCAGGGAACCAGTATGTTCCAAGAGCTTTATGTTACAAAATCACACATGGGTATGAGTGCAAGGCAGACCAATGGATTTCATAGAACAGCACAAAAAGTTCACTGACAGGTTTCAGATTTCACATTACAATTAACCTTTAAGAAACTACCACTTGTTGAGTTTTGGTTAGTATCAAAGAATAGCCACAAATAGCTGAAAAACTACTAAAATGTCCTCTTTATTCCAACTACATGTCTGTATGAAGATTTTTCTTCATTAACTTAAACCAAAACAACATACTGACAGACTGAATGCAGGATCAAACGCACATCCAGTTGTCTTCTATTAAGCCAGACATCAAGGAGATTTATAAAAATGAAAACATTGCTCTTCTCATACAAATATTCTTGTTGTGGGTTTATTATTTAAAAATGAATCAACAAATTTTTAAAGTTTCAGTTTTAATTTCCATATTATAAATCACAATAGATATAACTTACATAAATAAAACCTGTGTGGGAGTCTTTGATAATTTTTAAGAGACTTAAAGGGAGCTTGAAGCTGGAAGGTTTGAAAATGGCTACATTATACTTTTCTGAAAGTTAAATTCTACCAAAATAAAATGTCACATATGTACACAAAGTGCTCTTGCTTGCCAAAACTGGGACAGTATGAGTTAAAAAAAAAAGAAGATAATGGACAGCACATTAAGAAAAAAAACAAAACCCATGAATCCACAGTGTTTTAAAAACAAAGGTGAGAGACAGAGGAAGAAAAAGGGAAAAAAGGAAAAAATCTTCATAGAATGCAAGCTAAAAAATATAAAAGGATAAATAAATTTAGAAAATTAACATTTTGTAATCCCAATATGATAACTGACAGAAGGAAGGGCATCAGAGGGTGCTGAAGCACTGGGAGCAGCTGCAGGGACAGAGGAGAGTCACATATGCAGTCTCTGGGAATCTGTAGTGCTTGTGAGGGAAATGTGCAACCTACACTTGATCAGGAAGAACCAGTCCAAAGAATCCAGGATGTGAACCATTCTATGAAACAACTGATCTGTACTCTGCAAAGTACGTCTTGAAGAAGACAAGAAAGGTGGGAGACTGCTCTAGACCAATAATAATGCGTGAAACTTCATTAGCTCATGCACTGAAAACAAAATGAAGACCTATAAAGATTTTTTTGGAGGGAACAACTGGGATGTCCCTGAACCAATGCTGATCATCTTAGGTATGCTAAGGGCACGGTGGCTGTGGGCACCTCCCTTTTCAGGAGCATGAGAATGCCTAAAGGGTCTAGGAGAAAAGTGGTGAAGTGTCAGGTGGCTTGACAAAAGACAAGAGGAGAAGAAAGGAAAGGAGAGATAAATGAAGAGGAGGAGAGGGAGGGAGGAATAAAGAATATGGCAAGATGTTAACAGATGATGAACCAAGTTTAGGTGTCTAGGGGTGTTCATTGTACTTAGAAGAGAATCAACACAACATTTTCTTCTTTGAAACATCTGTTACACCAAATCTTTCTTTATAACGGACTTTATTTTAATGAGATTTTACTTTTATAACCCAACAAATGTAGGATATCAAGAATAACTAACCAAACACTTTGAATAAATTCCATTTTTTTACAAAAGCAATTTAATGCCTCATCCGTACTGATAAAGATGGAGGGAAAGATGAAGTGCATGAACTCATCAGATCCATCCCTTTCACTCCCGTTAAGCCTCTGAGGGACTATTCTAGTGCCTGGGCTCTAGCACAAGAGCCAATGTCTATTTTTATAGCTTTCCTTCACGTGTCTTTACAGCAGATGGCCTCATGTTTAACAATCACATAATCTTGAGATACTAGATATAGGTAGTATGTGACGCCCACTTAACTACCCAATTTTCACACCTTATTTATATAGTACTTGCAAATGGCATAGTAAAAATACTGAATCTCAGTCTCCATAATAGCTCTCAATTTTTGCTCCTGGCTAATAAACCGAATAAAGATGTCATGCTTTATTTTTTCTTGCTTTTATAAATGTATTCAACCACTTACGTAGACCCTGCTAGCAGAGTGTGGATGAGACCTGGATGTACGCTCCACAGGCACCCAGAGATGCAGAGGAAGGCATTTCACTGGGAGATGGGATGAGCATATAATTTCAAAAGAATCCAAAGCAGTTCCTATTCTTTCCACACCTATGTCTTCTTCAAGTACAATAATATTATGCTATATAATTCTGCTGAAGAGACCTTCTTCATTATCAGATAAATCTGACCTTTGCAGAACAGGCCTGGCCTGGGTTCACAGTAATACACATTCCTAGATAGCCTCTAACACAAACCCGCCTGCACCTGTAAGGGACAGCCACAGGCAGGACTTCAGGAGACTGAGGGTAGATAATGGTGACTGCAGAGGTGCACCCTCCATTGGTCAGCACTACTCTGGCTGAGGTGGAGAAACTGAACCCCAGGGCCCAGAAGTTCAATGCTGAACAAGGAGATTTCAAGGAGATTACGACAGCACCTTGCCTCTGACCATACAGGACAAACCTCAACCCAAGAGGAAACAGAGGCTAGAGAGGGAGGCTTACTGCAACACATTTAGAAAGTTCTCTTACTTCTTGTTTGTTTTTTATGCAAACTTGGTCCTTACCTTGGAATTCAACATAATTTCCGGAGCCCTGTACCAACGTGTGGCTACATACTCTGTCAGGAACCCTGTGTGATCGTGGTCTGGATCTGCAACACGGGCCAGGCCAAAGTCGCAGATCTAAGAGAAAAAAAACCAAGATACCTTCTTAGAAATTCTAACCAGCTTGATATCAAAACATCACAAAAATTAAAAAGACAATAGCATTAATAATAAATAGCTGCTACCATTACCATGTGGCAGATTACATTGCTGGGAATTCTACAAACCCATTATTTAATCTTCGCAACAACCTGAAAGGCAGCAATGACAATCCACATATTAGAGTCTAGGACATTAGGCTGAAGGAATCTTTAATGGGACACAATTCATTATCTGCTTAGCACAAAGCAATCTCACTTAGGTGATGTGACAAAAAGTGTTCTGGGTAAAGTCACCCTAGGCCCTTTCTTGGGCCTATCCTGCTGGAGCTCTGAGATTGCTGGGAGGATTGCACTGACCTTCTATTTTTCAGACTCCATTTCCTGCAAGTCTTCTACTCAGTCCATGATTACATTAAGTATTTCCAAAGATTCTTCCTACTTCCCTCCCCTTCCAGGTAGTCAAATCTATTCTCAAAGATTTTAAAAGTTTCACATACTGAAGATATACAATTTTCTTTCTTTCTTTTTATTTTAAGATGCTAAATTGGGTCTGGGATTTTTTTTGCTTAATACCTAAGCTTCTCATTTTCTATTGACTCACAAAACCACCTGCTGGCCTTTCATTATCTGGCCCTCCAATACTGTGAGGCTATTTGGGGTCAGGGACCTTCCTAGACTCCAACATATATTAAATATCACTAAAATGTATTTAGTCCCATACAACTGTAGGGTATTTTAATTCTTTGGCCCCTGGAGAACTAACTCAAGAGACAGACATGTCAACAAAAACAGGCCAGAGTATAGTAGAAGGTAGCTTGGAATACAGACTACTTTAGAGGCTTATAGCATTAAGTCAGCTAAGAAAAGATAGGGGCCTGAACTCAGGACATAAAAATGGACACACACACACACACACACACACACACACGGCAGGGCATGGTGGCTCACGTCTGTAATCCTAGCACTCTGGGAGGCCGAGGGGCGGATCACTCAAGGTCAGGAGTTCGAAACCAGCCTGAGCAAGAGCGAGACCCCGTCTCTACCATAAATAGAAAGAAATTAATTGGCCAACTAATATATATATACAAAAAATTAGTCAGGCATGGTGGCGCACGCCTATAGTCCCAGCTACTCAGGAGGCTGAGGCAGGAGGGTCGCTTGAACCCAGGAGTGTGAGGTTGCTGTGAGCTAGGCTGATGCCACGGCATTCACCCTAGCCTGGGTAACATAGACTCTGTCTCAAAAAAAAAAAAAAAAAAAATGGGGACAAGGAGGAATAAGTCTAAGAGATCTTCATAGGACCTGGAGCCTATCTGGATATCAGTCTGCTTAGATATCCCACAATTGAATGCTTCAATAATTCAGAAAGATTCAGAGAGATCCCTTTCCCTTCCCAATATCTTCTTCTAGCCTTCCCCACCTTAAAGGCCAGCATCACCAGGTAGCACCTTTGATTCCACAGGCCCTACCACTTGCTCCCGCTGTAGCATCTGAGAGAAGCTGCACATCTGTGTTGCAGAATTTCTCAGTCTCCTGAGACACCATCACTGCATCATCAAAAGGAGCCAAGAGTGATCTGCTTCTCCAGTGACTCCTCTGCAGACCTCTTTCCACGTGAATGGTCACATGGTAGAGCAGGGAGGAAATCCTGTCTTCCGTGGTTGTGGCTGCGGGCTCCAGCCACTGCGCTCCCTCAGCTGACATCACCTCCCCTACGAGCCCTGGGCCTCTCCTGGCAAAGCTGGTTTGGTTTGCCATTACGCCCTCTGATAGTCACGGACCTCTCAGAGGAGCTTATTGAGGCGTGGTCATAAGCTTTTGGCGGGGGGGGGGGGGGGATATCACTGTTAAGTTCTAAAATTTCTGCTTGACTGATCTTGAGGCTTTTCAATGTACCTGCATCTAATTTGTTTCATTAGAGACATTCCTATGAGTTCCTGTAAAGTAAACTTGCAGGAAGAGCTCCCAGGACTCATGCCCAGGAGGCTCACTAGCAACATGATGCCAGTTGACTTGATTTCCAATTCGGGGAAACAATGAATGGCTGATTTCTTCTTACTTCTGAAGGGGAGGCCTCTGGCCACTGAGAGCCATCCCTTGCCATGCTGGGCTATCATCGTTCCATTTCCATTCTGTGCGGTTTCAATTTTTCAATATCTCTGTGACACAGTTTCTCTTTTTTCCAGGGTTAACAGTTTATCTTCTGATTCAAGTTTAACCAAAGCTCACCACTCTGCCTTCTGTGGTATAAATGGATACCTGAAGCCACATTCTGAATCATGCAATCAGAGAAGAAATACTGCACAGTCAGCAGAGCTAAACCAGGGCAAACACCAGAATATGCACATAGAACCTTCACTGCCCTCAGCGCCTGGTGTCACACAGAATGAATGCGTAGACTTGATACACAGCTTTTCATGGCTCAGTTAAATCACAAAACAAATCTCAGATTAAAAAAAAAAAGCAGACTATGAAAAATCAATAGATCAATGAAGCCAAGGTTGAGGACGATGTCTCCACATTCTTCTAGGATTTACAGACAAAAGAAAAGGGAAGCTATACTTTAGAGAGCTTGGTCAGATTCTTAAATTTCTATAAAGACAGGGGAAAGTGCTGTGAATAACTTTAAACTCAGTTGTGGCAGGCTGTATTTTCTAAAGAGGGCCACACCGATATAACCCAGCCTCCATGCTCTTCTTACAAACTCTCTGGCTAAACTTGTACTCATTTTTTTTTCTTTTTTTGAGACAGAGTCTCACTCTGTTGCCCGGGCTAGAGTGCCGTGGCGTCAGCCTAGCTCACAGCAACCTCAAACTCCCGGGCTCAAGCGATCCTCCTGCCTCAGCCTCCTGAGTAGCTGGGACTACAGGCATGCGCCACCATGCCCGGCTCATTTTTTCTCTATATTTTTAGTTGGCCAATTAACTTCTTTCTATTTTTAGAAGAGGTGGGGTCTCGCTCTTGCTCAGGCTGGTTTCGAAATCCTGACCTTGAGTGATCCGCCCGCCTCAGCCTCCCAGAGTGCTAGGATTACAGGCATGAGCTACCACGCCTGGCCCAAAACTTGTATTAATATCAAGAGGTGGGGTCCATCTTCCATCCTCTTGAATCTGAATGAACCTCTGAAACTGCCTGAACTAAAAGAATACAGTATAGGTGATATTGTGTGACTTCTGAGGCTACACCATAAAATGCAATATGGCTTCTACCAGGCTCGCTCTCTTCTAGGGTACTTAAAACCCTCTGCCCATGTTGTGAGGAAGCCCAGGCCACATGGACCACACACGGGCATTCTAGTCACAGCCAGCATCAACAGTCAAGCACACGAGTGATCATTCTAGCCCTTCCCTTTGCATCTTCTAGCAGAGGCCCAGACACTGGGGAGAGACCAGCTGTCCCCGCTGCACCTTAACTGAATTCCTGACCCAACGAAACTGTGAGGTAATATATTACTGTTGTTTTAGGTCACTATGTTTTCAGGTGATTTGTCACAGAGCAAGAGAAAACTAATATAGTGGTATTGGGCAGAGTGACTCTCTAAGAAAGACCCATGTAAAATGATACTGAAATCCTGCAGAGATGTCAGCCAAGGAAAGACCTGGGGAAATGGGAGCAAGCCCTAGAGAAAGAAGCAGTGGGGCATGTGGGTGGGGGGCACTGTAGCTGGAACCTCCTACAATGTCTCTTGAATTGGCTTCTTCTATATCTCAACTGCCATTACTTTAGTATGAACTCAGTTTTGGACTTACGTAAAAGCTAGTCTCCCTGCCGCAGTGTAATTCATCCTCTAAATTCCTGCCTAAGGGTTTCTTCTAAAAGATAAGTCATCTCTCTGGCTCAAAATCTTTTAACCAATCCTCTCTGCCTAATGAATGAAGACCAAATTATTTAAGCATGATTCTCGAGAGCATTCTCAAACTGCCACCAAACTATCTTCTGTATCTCTTATCTCCTACCATCAGTTCTGTCCCGCATCTGACCCTATTTACTCGAGACCTACACCTCTCAAGCTGAACTGTGCAATACCATAGCAATTGTGTGCCTCTATCCATGCCGTCACTAACCCTGAATACTCAGCTAGAATGTTTCCTCTTCTGAGAAATTTCCCAGGCATCAACACCACCCCCAACAATTAATTGGCCACTTTTCTGAACTCTACCATTATACTCTGCTAGATTTACATTAAAGCACACAACTTCAATCTATGATAATTAGCTGTAATGTAAGTCCCCACCAGAATGTGAGTCTCAAGAAAAAGGCAATATTTGACTTACTTTTTATTTCCAAGTGTCTTATACATAGTGTACATTCAATATTTGGTGAGTAAATGTCCTACTTTAAGTGTTTATAGGAAACAAAACAACTGGGGTGGATTAATTGGCAGAGACTCTCCTAATGACCATTTTTCCCCAATGTCTGAGTTACTGATAACCTTTTAAAAATAAAAATCAGAGGCCAGGCGCGGTGGCTCACGCCTGTAATCCTAGCTCTCTGGGAGCTGAGGACGGGGCGGATTGCTCAAGGTCAGGAGTTCGAAACGCCTGAGCAAGAGTGAGACCTCGTCTCTATATAATAGAAAGAAATTGACTGCCAACTAATATATATAGAAAAAAAAAATTAGCCAGGCATGATGGGCAGCCTGTAGTCCCAGCTATTCGGGAGGCTGAGGCAGGAGGATCTGCTTGAGCCAGGAGTTTGAGGTTGCTGTGAGCTAGGCTGAGCGCCACGGCACTCACTCTAGCCTGGGCAACAAGTGAGACTCTGTCTCAAATTAAGTAAATAAATAAAAATCAGAGTACAGAGTACGAGGGCTAACATCCTACATTAGTAATTTAAAAAATGTTAATAAAATTATATTTTCAAAGTGGCAATATTAAGGAAGGAAGAAAAATTAAAAATGGGAATAACATTCCTTCACAATGAAGGACAACTTACCCTGTCACTTTGAAGGATGCAGTATGTCTATGCCTATTTTTT